TTTTTTTTTTTTTTGTAGTTTTTTGGCCTGGGCTGGGTTTGAACCCACCACCCTCAGCATATAGGGCCAGTGCCCTACTCCTTGAGCCACAGGCACCGCCCAAATTGTCAAAGATTTTTGTTGGTTATTATTCAACTTTCTATTTTAGTGCCTAGAACCGTATTGAATTTCATAAATATTTGAAATGAATAAATGAAAATTTCCAACTAGCAGTTTACTCTGTAGTGCTTATTTATGTATTATGTGTACTTACATTATAATGTACTTATTTATGTAAACATAGCACATATTTAGGAAATGCCTTCTGTGTGTCAGGGCCTGTTCCAGGCCAGCTTCCCTGGTGCAAGTGGAGAACTGGTGGATACCAAAGACTGTAAATAGCAACATGAAATTCAGTTTTCTTTTGAAGGTCATGGAATTCATAAATAGGGACGCTCTAAGATTTGAATAAGACTACCTGCACCCATCAATATCTTGTATGACTTTCTAGGCTTTTTTATCCTCTTTTTTCTGTCTTTAGTTTTTCTCTGTTTATATAGAAGTGGTTTTTTTAAAAAAAAAATCCTTGAATTATTAGTTATTAACTTCTCACAAGTTATAAGGTAGTAATACATACCTGCTACAGATTGCAGGAGATATGTACAAAACCATAGCTATTATTAAAAAGTTTTGTGCTGTAAATTTCGTGTGAAGTATGGCAGCATCAATTCAGAAAACCTTTTCTAGCCTATCTCCCCTGATCTACCATCCTGTCTTTATGAAGCTGTCAGTCAGGAAGAACACTGTCAAAAGAACAGGTAAAAATTGACCCTCACTCTCTCTTTCGTATAGACGCACTTAAAGCTTGGCTAGCAATTTCTTTTTTGGTGAAAGCAAAGAAACTATATGAGTAGAAAGATGTTTAAGGCCTTAATAAGCAACCTGAAGAGAGCGTATTAGAAGATAATATGATTTAAACTTAAAAATATTAAAAGGGAATAAATTATGAAGATTAATCTGCAATTCATTTTGCCACACAGCTACCAGAGCTCAGAATCAACTGTTCTTAATTCGAAGGGGTTTACTTTCATTTAATTTCATAGATTCAACATTAAAAACGGTAATAGCCCCTCTTCATTATTTAGTCCTTGCTGCAATTTGTGACACTAATGTTTTAATGCTGGGACCAGCTGCCCCTCCCAGAGAGCTAGATTTTACATTTCTCATGCTGGAAATATCTATCTGCTAGCAGGTTAGTGCTGGGGCAATATTACGAATATTATCACAATTAAATTCAAATCATAAGTCTTTGAAAGAGAAGTATGGCTGATAATGTGTCACTCGTTTCTATATCTAGACTTGAAAGATAATTATTTCTTAATATCTTCCAATGATCATGAAAATCTCAATAACACTTTGTAGGATCACATTTCATAAAGAACTATCAAAAAAAAAATCAGTAGTCTCTCAAAAGTCATAGTCAGACTATGATGTCGGTAAGGCTACAATCTAAATTTTGGAATAATCTGATCAGTTGACTTTTTCAAATCTCTATGAAGGGTTATTTTGAGGCGTATAGTTTAGCAAAGTACTTGGGAAAATGGAGCAAGCATGTCTCAGGTGTGTTCACTTAGAAATATCCATGGACCTCATAGTTGTATTCTTTGTCTTGTTTTATGGAATTAAAAAAAAAAAATGTACCAGGATAAGTTCTGCACTCTTTGGATTGGAGGGTCTGAAACCATTGAATATGACTTAAAATTATTACACATTAACAACCAAAAAATGTTCTAATAATAATAGTCAGAGGCTATATTTACTATAAACTTGGTGCATTAAGTACCTTAAACACCATTCTTAAATATTTTATAACCATTCCTTCATTGTTACCATTGTAGTAATGATGAGGTAGGTGTTAGTCACACTATTTTATAGTAAAAATACTGTGCCTTAAAAAGGTTAATAATGATTCATCTAGAATCATTGTTTAGGTGGTAAACTGGGATTTGAACCCAGGTTGCCCAACTCAACCATTCTTACTTCTAAGTATCCTACAGAAATTCTTAAGGAATCAGCACATAAATAATACACACACACACACACACCCCAATTATTGAAAAGCTCTCTTGAGACAGAATTTTATCTTCAATTCACAAAAATGTTCCTTAAATCTCTTCTTTCACATCCCTGTAAATCTCTTTCTCAAGATCTCATTTCCAAAAAGTAGACGCACTCCAAAAATTTATTGTGACAAGAGAAATTCATAAGGAAAAAAAATCTGTAAAATGCTTATTTCTGAACATATTTTGAATATTTTTAACCACTATCTTCTAGAGGTACAGTCTCAGCAGTTTTCCTCAAAGTTATCTACTATAGCAATTGTGTAGAAAATAAATTATAAGCATTGGAAGACTATTTTTCCATGTATTTGAAACACTAAGCAATTAATTCATTCTGTTATAACAAATCTGCTCAGTAAGGTAAAATAGACTCAACTTGATGAAGTATGTAATTTGAAATTCTTAAGTTTGTAATTTGAATGATTACTTTTTGCTATAAGCTGCTTAGGGATTTTTTTTTTTTTTTTCATTTGTAAAAGCCCAAACATTTGGCTACCCAAACACATCATCAACAGAACTTATCATGCAATCCTTTGTTTATTAATCATCTTCTACTGATAATCTAAATGATGATTAGTCTTGCCTCAGTGACTTCTTTACTCATCTAATACACATTTAGTTTAATCCCTGTTACATATTCTGATTTGTCATAATTTACCAAGTGGTATTGAGGAGCAATCCTTTCAAAAACTAAAGTGATTAAGGCAAAAGAAAATATTTTAAATGTAAGATAAATTGCCAAAACAGATATTTTTAGCAAAGGCCAGATGTCATATATAGCACAGAAGTGCTCGTGTACTTTGTAGT